AGCCCTGCAGATACAGAGGTGAGTGAGAGAGATGCTATCCTTGTTCTCAAGGAGCTTAACATAGATATGTGAAGATCACTATAGGACAAGTAACACAACTGTAATGAATTTTATAAAGAAGAAATGTCTGTTGGGACAGAAACGTACAGTCTAACAAAGTTTCCTTGTTTGTGTGATGAAAGAGAGCTTCCCTGAGGCAGTGATTTTGAAGCTGAGATCCAGAGAATGAATTAGAATTAACCAGACAAAAGACAGGGGGAAGAGCTGCCCTTCTTTCCCTTCATGTCTTTGCTCAGATATCACCTTTTTATATAGGTTTACTCTGATTATCCTATTTAAAATTGCAACCTATGCTCCCTTCAGACATTCCCAATCCACCTTATTCTGCTTTTTTTTCCCCATAGCATTTATCACTTCTCACATGCTGTATATAGTGTAATCATTTTGTTTATTGTTTGTCATCTGTCTCCCCTGCTGGAATGTAAGCTTTATAAATCAGGAATTTTGGGGACCGGCCTGTGTCTCACTTGGGAGAGTGTGGTGCTAATAACACCAAAGGCACAAGTTCGGATCCCATATAGGGATGGCCGGTTTGCTCACTGGGTGAGCGTGGTGCTGACTACACCAAGGGTTAAGATCCCCTTACCAGTCATCTTTTTAAATAAATAAACCAGGAATTTTTGTCATTGTTGTTGTTTTGTACACTGATGTAACCAAACACGTAAAACAGTTCCTGACACAGTTGATGCTCAATAAATATTTGTTGAATGGAAGGAGGCAAGAAAGAATGGTCCCAGAGCAAAGGTACAGAGCTTGGCTTTAGAGAGAGGAGGAGTGCTTCTAATTGGTAACAGGAAGGAGGGAGAGCAGATCTAAGTAGTTGTTTGATTTGGTATTGGGGAATTGAGAAAGATGGTTAGTTTTTTGTGTCAACTTGGCTGGGCTATAAGTACTCAGTTATTTAATCAAACAGTAATCTAGGTGTTTCTGTGAAGGTATTTTTATAGATGTGGTTAACATCTATGCTTAGTTTAAATAAAGGAGATTATCCTTGAAAATGTGGGTCAGCCTCATCCAATCAGTTGAAGGCCTTAAGTGCAAGACTAAAGTTTCCCAGAGAAGAAGAAATTCTGCCTCAGACTGCAGCATAAGGGCCGGCCCATGGCTCACTCAGGAGAGTGTGGTGCTGAGAACACCAGGACCCCGGGTTCAGATCCTATATAGGGATGGCCGGTTGGCTCACTGGTTGAGCATGGTGCTGACAACACCAAGCTAAAGTTTGAGATCCCCTTACCGGTCATCTTTAAAAAAAAAAAAAAAAAAAAAAAAAAAAAAAGACTGCAGCATTAACTTCTGCTTGAATTTCCAGCATGCTGGCCTACCCTACAGATTTTGGATTTTCCAGTCCCCATGATCAGGTGAGCTAATTCCTTTAAATAAATCTCTTCATACACACACATGCACACACACACATATCTTATTGGTTCTGTTTCTCTGGAGAACCCTGATTGATACAGCATCTTTTTTCTTTTAATAGGAGGTGAAATCATCATCTGAGAATAAAGCAGAAGAAAATAGAAGATAAGAGAGTATAAGAGGTTTGAAATAGTCTTTGCACAGAATGGAAGAATGAACTGACAAAAGACACACAATTAGATTTGTAGGCAGTGTTGAGGGCTCAGCAGAGGTTACTGAACAGAATTCCCTTCTGTCTAGGAAGGGTTGTCCATGCCTTTATTCATGCCCTACCCGAACCCTATTATGTCTTGCTCACCATTATGTCAAAATGAACAACAACCAAACATATATCTGCTATATCAAGTGCCTATTATCTACCAGGCTCTAAGTATTTTATGTACATTAATTCATTTAATCCTCACAATAACACTGCAAGGTAGATACTATTATTATCTTCATTTTCAAAAAATTAAACTGAGGTAAAATATCCCATGACTAGTAAGTGGTGAAGTCAAGATTTCAGTTCAGGCAGTCTGACTCCAGAGCCTATCTTCTTACTCACTAATGAAGGTCATTATACATTTATGCATCTTTTTTCACAGGTATTTTCTGGTCACCTACTCATGGTGCACTAGGCACTGGGAGTAGATCAGGGAGCAATCAGGTTCTCTGCCACCATGCTGCTTATATTTCTAGTCAGGGGAAATAGACAATAAGAAAATAAGCAAATAAAAATTTATATGAAATAGGGCCAGCCCGTGGGTCACTCGGGAGAGTGTGGTGCTGATAACACCAAGGCCATGCGTTCGGATCCTATATAGGGATGGCTGGTTCACTCACTGGCTGAGCATGGTGCAGACCACACCAAGTCAAGGGTTAAGATCCCCTTACCGGTCATCTTTAAAAAAAAAAAAATTATATGAAATGATAAGTACTATGGAGAAAAATAATTCAGGGTAAGGAGGATAAGGATGTTGGGGAGAGTGTTGCCATTTTCTGTTTGGGGGTTAGGGAAGAATTCACTAATAAAGTGGTATTTGAGCAGACACTTGAGATGAGGGAGTGAGCCTCAAGGGCACCTGGAAGAAGAGCGTTCATCCTTCCATTCAAGTAGTGGTATAAGCCACTAGTCGTCCCTCAGTATTCCTTGTTTCCTTCTTTCTTTTCTAATAGAACTCCTGAGTTTTATCTTGGCACATGACCACTAAAAATAAAGATTAGATTTTAGAGCTAGGTGTGGCCATGTGATTGAGTGATGTGTGCAGTTGCCAGGCTGTGCCTTTTGGTGGGGGAAGAGAGTAGAAGAGCAGCCGGCTGGTATGGAGATCTGAACCCTTGACCTTGGTTAACACCACGCTCTACCAACTGAGCTAACCAGCCAGCCCCAAGCTGTGCCCTTAAAGGGAATGCCCTGTCCTTTCTCTTTTCTTCCATCTCACTAATGGGGATAGGACCCAGTAGACACGGTGGTGAACACTCTTGGACTTTGAAGACAAGGACTACTTCCTTGTAGAAGGCAGAACAATTAAAAGGCTACCAGCTTAGCCCTGAAGTGCTTATACTTGGAAAGTTATGTGAGAGGAAAAAAATAAACTTCTATCATGTTTAATCCTTTGTATTTTGGGTGCTTTTATTATAGTATATGCATGATAGGCAGAATTTTAAGATGGTCTCTGAGATTTCCTGTCCCTTGGGACTGTGACTATGATAGATTTTACTTCTGTGATTAGGTTATATTACATAGCATAGTTGACTGTAAAAAAGTGAGATTATCTAGGTGGGCCTGACCTAAACATAGAAGCCCTTTAAAAGCAGGGAGTTTTCTTTGTCTAGGAGAAGACAGACGTCAGAGAAGAGGACATCAGAGAAATTTGAAACAGGAGAACAGTTTGAGGCACTGTTGCTGGTTGGAAGATGGAGGGATCATGCAGCAAGGAAGGCAGGTAGTCTCTTAAGACCTGAGAGTGACTCCCTGGCTGATGGCCTGAAAGGAGACAACTTCGTCGGTCCTATAACTGCAAAGAACTGAATCCTGCCAACAACAGTAATGAATTTAGAAGTGGATTTTCACCCCAGAGCCCTCAGATGAGAAATGATCCCAGCCTACACCTTGATTTCAGGCTTATGATACCCTGAGCAGAGAACCCAGCAAAGTCATGTTGGACATATCATCTACAGAACTATGAGATACTACATGGGTCTTGTTTTTAAGCTGCTTAGTTTATGGTAATGTGTTAGACAGCCACGGAAGACTTGTGTATTAGTGAGTGTTCCCCAAAGAAACTGAAGCAATAGGCTGAGAAGTCCCACGGTCTGCTGTCTGCAAGCTGGAGGACAAGGAAAGCTGGTGATATAATTCAATCTAAATCTGAAGGCCTGACAACCAGGAGTGCTGATGTCTGAGGGTAGGAGAAGATGGATGTCTTGGCCATCCTTCCTCTGCCTTTTTGTTCTATTCAGGCAACAGATGGTGCCAACCCATATTGGTGAGGGTGATCTTTGCTTAGTCTACCTATTCAAGTGCTAATCTCTTCCAGAATTACCCTCACAGACACTCTCAGAAATAATGTTTTACCAGCTATCTGAGCATCCCTTAGCCCAGTCAAGTTGACCCATAATATTAACCATCAAAATTTGTTTATGTCCTAACTGATACTCAAGCATAAAGCACAGTACATAGACTCTGAGATAGGAGTATGCTTGGTGTGATCCATACACAACAGGAGTAGAGGGAATATGGAGAGAGAAGGCAACAGCCATCAGATAGCAATTTGTAGACATTGGTAGTGTTACTGAACCCAAGTCCAACTGCCTGCTGCCAAACAGAAACAACTGACTCAAAGTCAGATGCTGGTGAGAAAGGAATCTCTTCAGACCTGAATAAATCTGCCTTTCCTTTTCACCAGCATTTGACTTTCAAGTCCTTTGTTTCTGTTTGGTGATAGGCAGCTGGACTTGGGTTCAGTAACAGTACGACTTTGGCTTTAACCTGAGGGAATGAGATGATAAAGTGTTAGTGAGCTTTGAGCAGAAGAGTGATAGGATCTACCTACATTTTTTTTTATATCTTTATTTATTTATTTAATTTTATTTTGTCAATATACAATGTGGTTGATTATTGTGGCCCATTGCCAAAACCTCCCTCCCTGCTCCCTCTCCCCCCTCCCACCCAACAATGTCCTTTCTGTTTGCTTGTCATGTCAACTTCAAGGAATTGTAATTGTTCTGTCTTCTTCTCCCCCCCAGTTTTTTTTTTTTTTTTTTTTGTGTGTGTGTGTGTGTGAATTTATTTATTTATTTTTAGCTCCCACCAATAAGTGAGAACATGTGATATTTCTCTTTCTGTGCCTGACTTGTTTCACTTAATATAATTCTCTCAAGGTCCATCCATGTTGTTGCAAATGGCAGTATTTCATTCTTTTTTATAGCTGAGTAGTATTCCATTGTGAGGATCTACCTACATTTGAAAAGGGTCATTAGCTTCTCTGAAAAGAATAGATTGGAGGGGCAAGGGTGGAAGCCAGGAGACCAGTTAGCGGGCCATGGAAAATTCAGGTGAGAAATGATAGCAGCTTTTATACCAAGGTTGTAGCACTTAAAGTGGTGAAAAATAGTTGGATTCCAGATATACTTTGAAGGTATAGCCAACAGAATTTCCTGGAGGATTAGTTATGGTGAGAGACAGAGAAGTCAAAAGTGACTACAAGGTTTTGGCCTGAGCAACTTGAAAAATGGACTTGCCACTTACTGAGATGGGAAAGACAGTGAAAGGAGCAGGTTTCTCTGGGGGAAGGGGTGGTTAGGAGTCTGGTTTTGGACATTTTAAGTTGTTAAATTTGAGATACTTATCAGCTATCCAAATAGGCATTTGGATTTACAAATCTGGATTTCAGAGGAGATGTGGGGCCGAATTTCTTTTTGTTTCAAATCATTCAGCTGAATTTTTAAAAATCATTCAATCTGCATTCTCCTCTCCTGCCCCCTCCGTAAACTAGATTTTGAGCTCCCTGACATCAAGGACTTTGTCTTATTTGGATTCTTTTGGAGAGATGGTGTGGCGTAGATCGATATGTTGTGGTGGGCAGGGAGTCCCAAAGGCATACCTCGTTGGGACCGGCACTAGCTTAGACACTCAGCGAATGGATAAACGGGCACATGGATTACACCTGTTCACGGCGCTCTCGGGATTGCTAGTCCCTTGAATCAACGTGTCACTTTTTTAGACCCAGCCTGGTCCTCTGCTAGTCCCCGTTCCAGGCTGTGGCAGCCTACGGCTTTGGCCTGGGTACCGCCCCTCCCGGCTGGGTCCCCGCCCTCTAGGCCCCGCCCACATTCGACCCTGGCCCCTCCTCTTTCTGGCTCTTGTCTGTATTCCCGGCTATGTCTCGGGCTTCCCGGGGTCCGGTAACCGTTCTAACAGCTGGGAACGGATGGAGCTGCAGGTGCGTCTTCAGGTCGGGATCCGCTTCCCTTGGTCCCCCAGGACAGGCTGTTTCTCCTACCCCAAAAAAGGCCCCCTTCCCCACGCTCCCACGGAGACCACCTCCTCCCCCGCCCGATCCTTTGTCCCTTCTTCCTCTCGGCTTCCACCTGCATCCTGACCAGGTAGTTCACTGTTCCTGCTCTTCGGCTTTCTGTCCTCTCGACCTCCTCAGCCTGTGAGCGAACAGGTCATGGGACTGAGGCTTTGCTGCCTCTGAGTGACGACCTGTTTTTTTCTCCCCTTAAGGCGATCGCCGGCCTCCACTTTGAGTGAAGGTTCCTTGCTGTGACCGAGATTCTCTGAGTGAGCCCTGTCGTGTCAGTTTGTGATTACTCGTGTGTGCCAGCTTCTCTGGGTGTGGGTGGTTTTAGGGTGATTAGGGTGAGCCTGTGCTTGAGACCCAAGTCTAAGTTCATGAACTTCTCCAGCAGGCACTGCCCAATGAAACCTCATCAGCAGATCTGGCTCTCTTCCTTTCCCTTGCCTCCAATACCCCTTAGGCCAGGTGAGGGGGACAGGGTACTGGGAGGTGGGAAAGAACTCTTGTGCTGGGAGGACTCCCACCTCTGACCTGGGCCTGCTTCTTGCCCTTCTTTGGGGAAGCTGTAAGGAGGGCATGAGGTTCTTAGGAAAGGCCCTCTACTGTTCTGGCTCTACCTTGCAGCTCCGTCCATTTCTCTGTCCCAGGTCCCCTCCTCCCCCTTCCTCTCCTTCCCCATTGACCCTGACCATCCCCTGCCCAGAACTTGAGGGTCTTCTCCTACCCCTCTTCTGGCCTGGCCCATGCAGGTGAGGCCCAGCATCCAGGAGCCTGGAACTGGCAATTGGAGCCTGAGTTGTGGGCAAGGTCACTTCGACAGCAGTTAAAAGCCCAGCTCCTCTCTGTTCCGGAGAAGAGGAGGGTATATTTGTCTCCTGATGAGGCATCATCTGATGCCCTTGAGTCTCAGCACTCCGTATGTGTCCTGGACAGCAAAGAACAGCCCTGGGCCTGTCAGAGGCAGTTCCGGAAGCCAGTGACTGAATCAGAGCAGCCCACAGTGCTGGAGCTACTGCTAGCTGAGCTCCAAACTCTGTTCTCAGCTGTACTGCAGGATGGCAGCCCTTCAGCTTGGCGCTACCTGCATGCAGTACTGGGTCTGCTGCCTCCATATCGTGAGTTGCTAGTCGGTCATCTTGATTTGCTACCCTTCCTGGAGAAGCTGTACTGCTGGGCACCTTGGGTCCAATCCCAGCTCCAGCTGGACCTGCTAGATGCCATAGACCAGGCCTTTCCTCCAGACAGCTCTTTGTTAGACAGTGCCTCTCATGCTGATTGCCATACCCAGAAGCACAGGTTCCATCGTGGGCCCTCATGCCCAGCCTGCCCTTTTGTGCAGGCCCGGTGGGGTGGGCAGCAAGTAAAGGAGGAGTTGGCCACATGGCTGCGACCATTGACACTGCCTGAGTTACAGCGCTGCCTGGGCATTGTTGGAGCTGAGGTGGCCCTAGAAGAGTCCTGGTGGCTGGATGGCCTTAGTCTCCTGCCCTTGGCACTGGCGACGGACATCCCTGTACGGTATGAAAGTAGTGACAATGCAGAGGAGGAAGCTGTTGGAAGAAGAGAGACTAGGTAAGTGAGGGACCCAGTGTGTGACTAAGAGCAGAGGAGAAAAATAAACCAGTTTATGGGTACCTCCAGGGCCTCTTGGATGTCTAGAGCCAGCTCTCTATTGATCTGAGGGATTAGCCTGATCCCAAGCCAAGCTGGTGTGAGACTGCTTTCCTCTTCCTTTTTGTCTGCAAAATAAACCCAATGATCTTAGTGTTAATCCCCATAGGGAAATGCAGAAATTAATGAAAATCAGAAATCAGCCATGAGGAAGCCAAAGCTTCAGAAAACAGCTTGACTTTCCAGAATTTCCAGATTTCTTTCTCAGACTGTGCCAGAGGCCTCCTTAGTTCTTTTTCTCATCCACTCATAATCACTGAGCCTTGCCTCTGGGCCTACCTTGTGCTGGATCATGGATGCTGGATATAGGGTCCTTCCCTGAGGATACACCTGGGGAGTGCTTGTCTGAGTGGCCTTTCTAAACATGTGTATGTGAGCTAAACCAGCTCCAAAGCAGAGCAGAAATGGCAGCACTACTGGACAGGATTTCATCCTGACCCTTTCAGAGGTTTCTTCCTGCTCTGCCCATGTGAGCACTCTGGTCCCTTGAGTGAGGATTCTTTCAAAATCTGACTATTAGAGCTCTCTTCAGGATTTCTGAATGCCTATGGAGACCTCCTCTTTGAGAGTTCTTTAACTTTATTCTTGGAATTTCTCCCAATCCTCAGACTTGATTTTCTAGGTGCTTTGCAGCTTGTCTGTGACATATTTCAGAGTCTGGGAAGAAAGCTCGTCTTACCTTTACTCAAGCTTAGCTTCCCTGATAGCTCAAACAGACTTTTTTGCTTTTTCAAAGAACTGTCCTGTGCCCTGAGTACAGTTTCCTTTCCTGGGGGAACTTAATTGAGATGTTGGGAAGGGGTTACATTATCTGCCCTCTCTTTGAACATGGCAGTAAACCTCTGAGGTCTAGCTAATATGGTTTAATTTGCATTAAATTCTCCAAGACTGGCTTTCCAGGCATTCATTTATTCAATAAGTATTATTGGATACCTATGTGTATTGGGAACTGCTAGATGCTGGGGATACAGGAGTAAACAAGAAAACCTGAATTATTTCCCTTGGGGTCTAACAACTTAGGGAGGTAGATGTAGATAAGTTGATACATGTAAAACAAGACTACAAATTGTAATAAGTGCTATAAAACAAAAGAATGCTGTCTCTCTCCCAGTTGTTCTCTGGACTCTGTGTGTGTGTGTACAGTTAGGGGAAAGCACATCAGAGGAGTCTGGGTCTAGATTAGGAGGTGAAATAAGAAGAGTTTCAAAGAGAAGTGCTAAATGTTACTGAAGCAAGTAAAAAGAATCTGAAAAATGTTCACTGGATATAGCAACAAGGAAGACATTAGTGAGAATGGTTTCAGAGGAGTTTGGCGGGGAGGAAGCCAGATTGTAGAGCATTCAGGAGTGAAGGGGAGATGAAGTGGAAATCGCATTTTATTGTTTTTTTCATGATGCTTGGCTTGAAAGTGAGTGAGAGATAGTAGGACAGAGCTTGAAAGAATTTTGGTGTCTAGGTAGGACTTTTTTTTTCAAGATAGATGTTTAAAGCCCTTAAGACAGTGCTTGAGGAGTAGGTGCTCAATAAATATTTGTAGACTTAATAAATAGGTTAAGGAAAGAAGAAGAGGAGATTTAAAATGCATCATAGAGAGGGGGGATAAGGGGTCCAGAGCACAGATGGAGGAAATAGGCTTGCAGAGAAAAAAGGACACCCCTTCCTTTCAAGTTGGGGGACAGATAAGTATGTGGAAAAGTAACTAAAGTTGAGGGAGTTGGCTCATGGCTGAGAACCTCCATTTTCTCCAGGCTGGGAAGGAGGCAGAGGATAGGATGGAACAGGTGGGCTTTGGAGGGTTGGACCTGGGGTTAGGTATAGCAGCTTGAGGGATCTGAAAGAGGTAGCTGCCTGAGGACTTTATACTAAGATAGCAGAGCAGAAGGAACCTACAGTTGAGATTGGACACCAGAGATCTACAGAGGGATATATTCTTGGTTCTGTATCTTATAAATCTACTATATCATGTGGGACTTTAACTGCTGAGGAAATGAACCTTTAATAGCTGTTATGCCATTTAAGATGTTCTGATCCAAAATCTAGGTCATAAACCCTATTGCTGATATGATCTCTAGATAGGATTGTACTGTTATCCCTGGGGTAACTTGTTTTTCAAAGTTTGGGACAATTAATTATACTAGAATACTTTGACTGGTTGAGTCTAAGTTAAATAATTCCAGGGGGGGGTGGGTTGTGTGTTCTCTGAGATCACCCAAATCAAAATTATTAGTCCAGGTAATTAACTTTTGGGTTCTTGGATAATTAATTTTTATGCCAATTTTGTTGACGGTATGGTAGAAGGGTAAGAAGATGAGAGTATTGGTGCATCTTGAGGGGGGATGCACCACTGGATCCTGGCTGGAAAGGAAAGGATATGAAGCTGGAGGTTGGGTGACAATGGAGGAAGAGTAGGAAAGAGTAACAGGCATGGAGATCATGCAGGGTTGGGAAGCAGGTATAATGAGAGCACAGATAGGAGATCAGATCTAGAGTGGTAGGAAGGCTGACAGAAATCCAGGACTGTGGGCTTACAGAGATATGAGTTGGGAAAACAAAGTGTTTTCATTATTCATACACAGTATTACAAAATACAGGCTTCCTAATGATCATAGTCAATACAGAATGAATATTCATTTATCAGAAAGGGAGGAGTTGTTCATGCACACGTGTCCAAATGAATATAGTTGCCTGACTGTGTTGTATGATGGACCGTATTTGCTCAGTATGTGGCATATTTGAAGAGAGTAGGTGGTAGACACACTCTGATGATGCCAGGTCAGTTCCCCTCAGGCACCAGATCTAGCTCCTTTTTTCACTGGCTAACAGTGGAAAGGCCCACCTTTAGGTACCTGACCTTTTTGTCCTGCCTTTTTTCTCCTTGTTTTTTGTCATACAGGTTTCACCTTGACTATGAAGTTCCTGGGAAGAAAGCCTTCCAAAAGAGAGACACTGGCTTCTTACCTGAGACATCCTTCCTTGGTAGTCAGGTGGTGAATCTTCTGAAGACAGAGAAATACCTGAAGAAGATCCACTTTCTCTATCTCAATGTAGCTCCCAACAGGTACTTTAGGTAAGAGCCTATGTTCAGACCCTTTTTACTTCTCCCACTGCCTGATTTCCTCCCATGCTATTTTTCCCTTCCTCTTTCATCCCATGCCCACTCCTTTCCCCTGTCCTTTTTCCACACACTCCTCTGTCTCCCAGTTTCTCTTCTTCTTCCCTTCTTCTCAGCTTTCTTCTCTTAACTCTCTATCTCCTTTTTGCTTCCCTTTGCTCTCACAGCCTTTTGTCTTAGTCATCCTTTTCTCACTTTTTACTCTTTCTTCTTTATTATATCTTAGAATAATAGAAACATTTGGTTGTAGCTTCAGAAGTGAATTTAATGGGCATCTCTTCCAACTCCAGTGCAAGAATCAGGTGTCAGTTTAAATCTTTACAGTGTCAAGGAAGCTTTGTTTTCCCGAAGGCATCTTGTTCCTTAGACTGAATCAAAATCTGCTTTCTTTTAATTTCTACCTCCTGGTCCTAGTTTTATCTCTGGGGCTATAAAAACAAGTCTCCTCCTTCCACATGACTCAAGAGACATCTATTCACTTTCTCCCATTAAATCTAAATCTTACCTATTTTTAAAAGCCCTGTTCAAGTCCCATCTTTTCCCAGAAATCATAGTAATAATTATCATTATTAAAACTTTTCTATCTATCAGGTATTGTGCTAGTAAGAAAATGAGATGTGTTATTTAATCCTACCTACCAGGAAGGTGCTATTATTATATTCACATATGAGATCAATAGACTGATGCACAGAGAGATTAGGTAACTTGTCCAAAATCACATAGTAAGTGGTGGAAACAGGACTTAAACCTAGGACTGTCTTAACTCAAAAGTTCATGCACTTAAGCAGTATCTGATACAGCCTCCCAGAGAGCCTTATTTCCTGCATGTACTTATCTCTCTCTCCTGAACTTATGTAGTACTAATGATCTGTATCATTCATTCATTTACTGATCAATTCACTTAACAAATGTTCACTGAGAGCTTCATGCCAGTTATTAAATGATTGTATCTTGGCTGTAATTACACTCTTCTCTCTTTCCTTACTGATACCAGGGCTGGGACTCCGCAAACTTCATTTCTCCTTTTTCAGCTGGCCTCCTATTAGGTATGATTAGTAGGGGGTACCGGAAGGAGACTGGACAGCAGGACAAGAGGAGAAGGGATTTGCTCCTTCCTTTGCTTGCTCTTCCTGTCATTGTTGCCCTAGCAATGATCCTTCACCCTGGCAGCAGCAGGCACTTTCTCAAGCAGCCTTTTCACAACCCTGAGAAGTATGAACACCAGCTGGTGGCACCTTCTCATCACAGTCCTGAGCCTCAACTCTGCAAGGCCCCTCCTCCAAACTCTTTAGGTACTAATATCAGACAGGCAGCATCTCCTCCTTAGCAGTCTGAATTCCAACTCTGCAAGCCCCTGCTTCAAGCTCATAGCTTCTAATAACCCAAATCTTTTCCCTTTGTTCCTCTAGTTCTAGGGCTGGTATCTATTTCATACAGTTATTATCTTATATCTGTTTGGTAATATCCTTGGCTTTGAACAGTTCTGAGCTCTATGCTAATGGGAAATAGGATACAAGTAATGTACAACATGTAGTAGCATCACAAATTATCCCTTGTGGTTGAAAGTGATGAATCACCTACTAAAACCTAGTGGCTGCTACACTTGACCATCATGACTGTAATAATAGTAATGGTAGCAATGTGAGATGGAATGCCTACTGACCATAGTGGAGAAAGTAAAGGACAAGCTTAGGGCTTTAAACTATCCACATCAGTCATAATCAGAAAACCGTCAGAATCAAAGATAAGTGGCATATAAAGAGACAAGAAACCATGGGCAAAAGAGCTAAAAAAAAAAAGCAGTGAATAATTACTGGGCCAAGATCTGCCAAAGAAGGAAACCCAGTGGGGTGAGTTTAGCATTTTGGTGCTGCTTTTTCCCAAACAGAGGCACCTGTTGATTCCAGTAGAGGTAGTTGTCAATTTTACTATACATTCCTGAAAACCTGAGAAGAGGAGCCAAGCTTTCAACAGACTCAGGGAACTAAATGAGCAAAAAAAAGTTGCAGTTCAGGCCCCACACCAAGGATGGAGATGTATTTCTAGTTCAACTTTACTCCTATGTCGTAACCATTTAGGGTCCCAACCCAAAGCCCAGGGGATTTAATTTGTGATTTCTCCGATGTGTTCATACAGGTTCTGTTCATATTTTATCCAGGTATTTGGCCTAGTTTTTCTAGTTCTCAAGTGGGAATGTTGGTCCAAATTTCTAGTGCACCACCAGCAGAAGTAGAATCCTGTCATTTGCTGTTGCATTTTGTTCATTTATTTGTCATGTAACAGGGTTTTTTTAAAAAAATATATGTTTGAATGTATCAAATTTTTCTTGTATTTGTTCTAGATTTTGATTTACACTTAGAGAGGAATTTATTCCTTCACCTCCTTAGAGTCTTTGCTGAACTGTCCCTTCTCCATCCTTATTATCCCATTTAAAATTGCACTCCCTCCTTCCCTGGTATTGCCAATCTCCCCTTTTCTTCTCTTTTTTCCCCCCTTCCTACCATTTATTATGTTTATCATCTTTCTTCTCCAGTAGAATGAGAGCTCTACTGGGGCAAGGATTTTTGTTTTTTATGTTTAATGATGTATCCTCAGGGCTTGGAACAGTCTGGTCTAGAGTAGAAACTCAGTAATATTTGTTGAATGAATGAATGAATAGATAAATTATCCAGGTTAGGAACAGATTTAGAGGGGGTAGGTGATAAGTTTGTTATAGAACTTGCTGTGTTTCACGTGCATGCAAGACACAGAGTTTGAGATGTTTTGGAAACACTTTAATATATGGGTATGAGACTCAGGAAGATCTTGACTTGCCCCATTTACTACCTAGTATCCTTTAACCCTCCACTTCATTCTGAGCCCTTTGATGGAAAGGACTATGCAGTAGTTATCTTTATGCCCTCAGCTCTAACCTCAGTACTTGAACAGAGGGGAAAATTGATAAATGGTTTAACTAAGTTCCAAGAAGTCTGGGGGGACTGGATTTTTCTTGTACACTGCTGTATCCTCAGTGCCTAACACAATGCTTGGCCTTAATATACATTTGTAGAATAAGTGAATACCCCCCAGACGAGCAATGGCTATCGGGAGTGAGAATACTCCCTAACTCCTGGCCCTCTGCAGAAAGGGCAGCCTCCACTTGGTAGGTCGTAGAGAAAGGAGAGTTCCCTGGGGAGAGTCAGGGCTCAGTTAAGATAAGCATCTGCCCTATGGAAAGTTAAATGGACCATTGGTTAAGGGAAGGGGCTTGAGTCAGATAGATTTGGTTTTAAATCTTGTATTTTTTCATTAACTGCCTTGGGCAAAGTTTTAACTTCTCTTTGTTTCATATTTATCATCTGTAATTTGGGAACAATAGTGCTTGAGAAGGTCTAGTAACTTTGTCAGAAAAGAAATAAGGTTTTATATGACTGATGTAGTGAGTCAATTCTGATATCCATCTGTAGTGGATTGAATTATGTCCCCCAAAAACTCATTTGGGCTTGAATTGTGTCTCCCAAGTTTTATGTATTAGAAACTTATCCCCCACTGTGACTGTTAAGAGGGTGGGAAATCCTGTTATGGTAATTGAAAGGTGGAGCCTTTGGGGGCCGGCCCCTTGGCTCACTCAGCAGAGTGTGGTGCTGGTAACACCAAGGCCAGGGGTTTGGATCCCCTATAGGGATGGCTGATTAGCTCACTGGGTGAGCGTGGTGCTGACAACACCAAGTCAAGGGTTAAGATCCCCTTACCGGTCATCTTTTAAAAAATAAAATAAAATAAAATAAAAAGAAAGGTGGAGCCTTGAAGAGGTGATTGGATTGTAGAATTGTGCAGTAGTGAATGGACTAATCATGGTGGTCAGGGGTGTGGTTCTGAGGGCTTTAAAAGAAGAGGAGAGTCTGTCTCTTGCTCTCTCTCTCTCTGTTCCACCATCTTGCAATGTGAGGCCCCTGGGTCACTGTCACCACCACCAGGTGGACTTTGGACTTCCCAGCCTCAGAAACTGTAAGCAATAAATTTTGTTTTCTTTATAAATCGCCCAGTTCCGGGTATTTTGTCATAAGCAACAGAAATGGACCAATACACCATCTAAATGCTCTTAAGTCACTTGCTTAATAACGTATTCTAGAAAGCTGAGAGAGATAAGAGACAGAGGAGAGCCATTTTATCTCTTGGGCATTACAGAGCATAGGACGTAGGATACAGCTTTTAAAAGGCTTAAAAATGTATTTAATGCCTAAAAATATTACTGGCTCCAAGTTGTGAAAGCTGCAAAATAAAAATTAATAAGTGCTTTATTAAATGTACCCAGACATAGCATTATGCTAACTGGTCTACTACAACTAGATATAACTATTATATAGTGTTGGGAAAATGGAACAATTCGGTCAGGCTCCCCTTGCCTCAGAGCCGGTTCAGGGTGGTTCAGTAACATTGTGTGTGGGGGTGGAGTAAGTGCTCCTGCAAACTGGCGCCACTTTGGCTGGTGTTTACTGCCTTGGCCGCCGGCCCTGTGCAGCCATGTCTTTCCAGACCTGTGGCTTCCAAGGACCATGTGGCAGGTTGCCTAGCTTATAGATCTGCGTGAAGGGGTCTGGTGACCCAGCGTGGCACGTGAAGGGTTTGTGACCCAGTCTGTGAATGGGCTTGAGGGGTCTGCGAGCTCCAGACAGAGCCCTAACTCAACCATCAGCCCTGTCGGTGCAGGATTACCAGCAGGCAAAAGAGCCATGACAACTAGTGTGGTCGCCTAGCTTTACAATTGGCATCATGAACGAGATTAAGAGCTAGACAATTGGTGCTGTGAGCAGGATACTAGACATTAGCCTTAGCCATAGCTTCGCAGTAGCCAGACATATAGCTATCTATGAATTGCATTTAAGGTGAGACATAGGTGCATTTTCCTGAAGCAGGAGAACCCAAGGCCTATTAGGATTTTAAGATAGCTTGGGAGGTACTTGTCTGGTTCGTTAGGTTGCAATTTTCCTCTTTATTTGCCTGTTTCTAGTCTTCTAGTTTTCCCCTGCTTTTCCCCAATCTCAGTTACTCCAAACAGCATCCTCTGATTATCTTTGCATATTCTTTCAGTATGTAGGCATATATGTATTTTATCATTTCTAAGATAAGTATTTTTTTTCACATTTCACCATCTCTGAAATTGTGATGCATCTTACAAATTGATGGAGTATCGTATTGGAAGCATTTAATATCTTAGTGTTTCATATAATAATGCTACAACTTACAATTGATGGTGCCTTAGATTTGATGGGATGTAAGATATCTGGGTCTGGAGATAAGAATTTCTTGGAACGGACTAGGTGCCTTTTTCTCTTTTGTAATCTCTCTTTGGCTTAAGGGTTTTTTTGTTTGTTTTTGTTTTTGTTTTGACAACTGGCCAGTATGGGTATCTAAACACTTCACCTTGGTGTAGCTTCAGTTTTTTCTTAATATTTGTTCCATCTTTCTAGTTTGAAAATCATTCTGTTCTCTTCCCTTTCCTCCTACTTTCTTCTGCCTTCCTTCCTGCCTCTTTTTCATCTCCCCCATCGCTCTCTGGTCTCTTCTTGAAGTCTGCACAAGTTTCCAGGGCTCCCACTGACCAGAGCTCTTTTTCAAAGCCCCTACAGCCTGACAGTGGTGCCACCCAACAAGGTGAATCCTGAGCACTACATTTTTTCTCCCTTTGGGATCCTGCATATACATCCTGTGGAGGGCAGTGAGACGATGACACTAGGTACCTGGCACCGCCATTCTGTTCTCTGGGAACAGCTCCAGTTCATTCCATTCTTTAAGAATTGCCTCTTACGCAAGGCCTTGACCTGGTAGGTGATGATGGGTATGGGATTTGGGGGGAAATGGATGAGAGCACCAGCATATTGTCACTGACCTCTAATCCGTAGTTGGAAGAAGAATGTGAGATTGCAGGGACTGCGTCGCCTCCAGACTTTCCTAGAGAATCATCTGCTCTTGGCTGTGCCCCACTTTGGAGCTGGACTGCTCCATATTAGCAGGTGAGGTCTTAAAAACATAACTTCAATGTATCTTTAAAAGTTATTATTACAAAGGAGAATAACATGTACAATGTAGAAAATTTGGAAAATACAAAAACTCACAAAGGAAAAAAAAATCTAATCTCACCATCCATAACCACTATGAAGATTTTATTGCATATCATTCTAGTCTTTTTTTCTATCCTATATGCAAAATGTGATCATACCTTACATATTAAGTAACCAGGGTTTTTTTCTCTGAATCATATATTCTGAACATATCTCCATGTAATTACATATTCTTTTACATCATCTTGCCCCTGTTCACACAATTATTAAGTATAAAAATCTGGGGTTCTAACTCAGGTGTTTGAATCCAAACTCTACGTTTTCCATGATATTATTTAGATTCTTTTTTTTTGGGAAAAGGTTGAGTATTCCTATTTTTAGTACTTCCTTGCTTTCCTTGCAGGACTCTGTAGCTACTCCCAGATATATTCTGTGATTGGAGTTGCAAACTCAAATGTCTACAGGGCCTAAGCAGGAGGCATTGAAGGAAAGAAGTAAATTTGGTGTAAGACACTAGGGAGCATGGGAACTGCGTTCTGGAGATTGCATCTAAAGAGAATGGTCACTATTCACTTCCAACTAATTGTTGCCATTTAGGAATATAGATCCAGTGAGATCAACCACCTTATTTTACAGAATTTCCTGGAATTCCATATTTTGTTGTGAAATTTCTTAATTTTAACTGATTGGCTCAAAATTTTTATTGAAACACTGTGCTGGCCAACTTTTAGGTACATATTGAAAAACTTTTCAGTCTGAATTTGACCCATTGGTTACCAGTTTGCAACTTTGCTTCTGGGCAGTTTTTGTCCTTCACTGTAGCCTAGTCACTGTGGTGTAATTAAAAGCATAAGGGCTTGGGAGGCTGGACAGATCTGAATTTAGATCCTGAATACTAACAAAGGACTACTTTTCGAGCCTCAGTTTCTGATCTGCAAACTCAGATAAAGGTTTTTGCTACTTACCTATAATGAGAATTAAATGAGGTTGTGAATATAAAGTGCCATATTCAGTACCTCTTAGTAGACACTGAATAAATTACACCCATTATGATCATCCTGTCTGCTTATTGGGGAACTTTAATCTTTTTCAAGGATGTTTAGACATGTTGAGTTCTCTTGGGGGGACAGGGGTGTGGATAACAGAAGTGGTCTTCATGAGGGATGGTCAGTCCATAGAGAGAATTTGCAGTATCCCCCCCTTTTTTTTTTTTTTTAAAGATGACCGGTAAGGGGATCTTAACCCTTGACTTGGTGTTGTCAACACCATGCTCACCCAGTGAGCTAACCGGCCGTCCCTATATGGTATCCGAACCCGTGGCCTTAGTGTTATCAGCACCGCACTCACCCGAGTGAGCCACGGGCCGGCCCCAGTATCACCACCTTTGATTCTAAAACTCACCCGTCCTGTAGACTTTTAGGGCCCTCAGCTTCCCCTATTTTGAGGAAGAAACCTCTGCAGTCTTTCCTTCTAAGTCAGACCTTGGGACCTGTTTGATCCTCTTCCCTGGCAGAGAGTTCATTAGTATAAACATTTGCCCATACTCTGAGCTTTTCTCAAAGAATTTCTCATCCAACAACTTTCTGGGCTTGAACTCTTCCAAAGAACTCTTAAGAGGAAGCTGTCACTGTTGGCCACTGGTAATATTACAATCTTTGTAAACATTTGCTCAGTCTGTGGTGAGCTTGGCTGGGAAGAGGTCAAAGATGTCCAAGGAAGGAGGGCTGGGATATCAGCTCTGACTTGCTTAGCCCTTGATTCCAGGCTTCTGCAGGAGCTACACTCTGTGCCCTGGCTACCGCAGGAACCAGATAGGTGCTATGAGCTGCTGGACCTGCAGAAGGCTCTAGCCAAGGAGAAGTACAAGGCTCTACAGCTGCTCCATCGTTGCCTGAACCTCTGCACATCCATACTTCGACTGGTGAGAGATGATGGTTTATTGGGAACCTTTTCGAGAAGTTGAGCTCCCAGAGTTCCAGCCTCCTCTTGGTTATGTTCCCTCTGGGACCCCATGTGTGACCTGGACTCTGCTGTTAGATCAGAGCCATTGTCCTGCCCAGCAAAAGCAGTCTCTGCTCTGGGATTTATGTATCAGTAACAGGTGGGAAGAAGCTTGGTCTCAACCTTTTCCTAAGGGTTGGTTGGTCCTGGCCTAGGAACAAGGCAGAAAGAACGTAACAAGTATATTTTGTCAGTTGTTTGTGCTGGCATTAGGGAATTAGGGCATTAGGAAATTTGAGAACTGGAATCCCAATCTTTCATGCTGCTGGGCTTATCTATGAACCTATCTTGAACATTTTGTAGGCCACTGTGGCTGGTAGAAGCGTGCAGTAGAGGCCTTCCTAATTACGCCTGCTTTCCATCTGTGGTTCTCCCTCTAACTAGGGTTTGGGAGGCCCTGTTGTGTAGTTGCCCCTTGCCCATGGCCTGTTATTATGGTTTGTTGTGAGGTGGGGCTGTATATTCACATAATCCTCTGGCTAATCACCATACATAGATAGTCCAGTTCTGAGAGAGAGGCCTGCTAAGATTTTGTGAAAATGAAAATGAATGTGAATGAGGCTCACCTTGCCTGGGCTGAGCCAAATTTTGGGTTCTGCATATTGCTCTAAACTTCATCAGAGGAGGTTAATCACTAAGAACAGAATTCTGATATCTCAAAGATGACCTTGACTGCAAAGTATTTCTATTCCCAGGAGTTAGCAGTTACTTTTAAGGATTGCTCTTGGTTAAAATCTTAAATATTTTAAATACTTAATGCTAAAAACTTTTCATGAAATTTCCACAGAAATTTTTTTCCCAGAATTACCTATCCTTATCCTACTCTATGTTTTCCTTTTTCTATGTTCCCTCTCACCTTTTAAAATACCATATAATTTCTTTACCTTTTTTACTAACTCTCCATGGTAGAATTTACCTCCACAAGGGCAGAAATCTTTGTTTTATTCACTGTTGTATCCCAGGAACCTAGAAGAGTCTTTGCACAAAGATGTTCGGTAACAGCTGCACAGAGTTTAAGACTTTTGGACTTAACAGAGCTTCTGCATGTTTATGAGTTTGTACTGATTAGACCCTTAAGTGATATCTTCTTTTTGTGTTTTAGAAGAGGAGCTAAAGAGGAAATTCATAGTCTCTCTTCAGGAAGTGTAGGGATAAGGGGCCAATGCTTCAGCAGTGTCAGGATCCTAGATCCAGAAGTGGATCTAGATGAAGAAGTGAAAAGGAGGCAATGACTTTTAGCCTCCACAGAGTAAATGCTGGGCCTGCCACTGAACCAAGCCAAATGGGGCAGGAGATGGGGGAGAGCTGCTCTACAGCCTTTCTCTACCTCCTAGTTTGTAAATCACACATTTGTTGTTTTTTGTTTATCATTTTTTAAAAATTTTAACACATTATAATTGTACATGTTTATGGGGTATAATCTGATGTTTTGATAACATATATGTTATATAATGATCAGGTCAGGGTAGTTAACGTATGTTGCTTTGCCTCCCATGGATTTGTCACCCCTCTTCCTTTGGGTGACGGAGCCACAAAGGATTACTCAAAGCCCATCTCTTCTGAGCAGTGAGAAGCCCTGAAGGGGTTAATCTCCTGGAACCCTCAAGAGAGAGGCATTCCTTCCATTTGGGAAATTAACCAAGAACTGGGGTTCTTGCCCCACATTTATTCTACAGGCCAGGAAGTTACAAAAAAAGAACATAGGTGGGGCTATAGTTTAACAATATAGGCTGGTAAGATTCAGTAAAACAAGCAAGGTGACATTCTATAATGCAATTTGCAAGAGGTTAAGTCGATCCACCAACAAAAGCTTGATTTTAGCAAACATTCTCTCTCCTTACAGTAATTTCCCAGTATCTTTACATATCAATCAGTAATCTGTCTGTCCCCTGAGCCAGCAACCTTGTTGTGCTACAATTCTTTATCTTACAACAGAGACTAGCTTGGGGAAAAATTTCCTGTCTTTTGCAAGGTTAACATTTTATATGTACTTTTAAGAATTTAGGCTAACCCTAAAACTACAAGACACTAGGCCCTGTGAAATATATTTGCTTTATAAATATTGGTATACTCCACAAATGTATCCATCACCTCAGGCATTTATCATTTCTTTGTGGTGAAAGCATTCAAAAGCCTCTCTGCTAGCCATTATGTAATTTACAAAAGTTAACTGTTAACTATAGTCACTCTACTGTACAATAGAACACCAGAACTTATTACTCCTATCTAATTGTAATTTTGTACCCATTGGCCAGTTCTCCCTGTTTTCCCTTCCCCCCACCTATCCCCAGTCTCTGGTAACCACTGTCTTTTTGATAATAACCTTTTTTTAAAAAAAAATCTGGGTTTTTTCTTTTGTTTTTTGTTTTTGGCTCTAACCAGTATGGAGATCTGAACCCTTGACCTTAGTGTTATAACACCATGCTCTAGCCAACTGGGTTAACTGGCCAGACCAATAATAGCCACTCTAAATGGAGTGAGGTAGTATCTCACTGTTGTTTTGATTTGCATGTCCCTGATGATTAGTGATGTTGAGCATTTTTTTCATATGCCCACTGACCATTTGTATTTCTTCTCTTATGAAATATCTATTAAGATCCTTTGCCCACTTCTCAATTGGATTATTTGTTTTCTTGCTCTTGAATTGTTTTAAATTCCTTATATATTCTTAATATTAACCTTGTCAAATGTATAGTTTGCAAATATTTCTCCCATTCTGTAGGTTGTTTCTTTAATCTTAACCATTTCCTTTGATGTGCAAAGGCTTTTTAGTTTTATGTTGCTGTGGATTGGATGTACCCCCAAACTCACTGAGGCTTGGTCACCATTGTGACAGTGTTAAGAGGGTGGGAAATCCTATTGTGGTAGTTGAAAGTGAGGCCTTGAAGAGGTGATTAGATTGTGAGGACCATTTCCTACTGAATGGATTAATCCATTGATGGTTTAATGGTGGTGCTCATGGGTGTGGTTCTGAGGGTTTTAAAAGGAGAGCCAGTGAGGAGATTAGTTCTCTTTGCTCTGCCACCTTACACTGCTGTAGAGTAACCTCACAAGATACATTCCCTGGACTTTGGATCTCCCAGCCTCCAACTGTAAGCAATAAATTCCATTTCTTCAAAAATTACCCAGTTCCAGGTATTTTGTTGTAAGCAACAGAAACAGACTAATACAGAAAAGTGGTACAAGAGAAGTGGGTTTTTGCTTATAACAAATATTTTAAAATGTGGAAGCAGCTTTAGAACTGGGTATTGGGCAGAGGCTGGAAAAATTTGGAGGAATAGGCTGGGAAAAGCCTAGATGCTGGTGAGGAGAGTTTGGAACATTTTAGAGACTGGTTAAAATGGTGGTGACCAGAATGCTGATAGAAATATGGACAGTAAAGGCCATACTGAGAAGATCCCAGATGTAAATGAGAAGGAGCTTATTGGAAACTGGGGCAAGGATCACCCTTGCTATGAACTGGCAAGGAACTTGGCTGCATTCTGTTCATGCCCTTAAGTTTTATGGGATGTGGAACTCACAGAAGAAATTTCTAACAGCAAAGCATTCATGAAGCTGCATGGCAACAGCCTATGCTGAGTTATGGCAGAAAAGACATAAAGTAAATCCAGAATTTATAATTCAAAAGAAAGCAGAGGGCAAATAATTGGAAAACTTTCAACCTGGCCATGAAAGCAAGGGTGTGGCCTAGTGATTGTTTTCCAAGGAAGTCAGTAGAGAAGAAAGGGATTATCAAGAGAATGGAAAAAAGACCTTGAAGGCTTTTCAGAAATCTTTGAGGCTGCCCCTTCCATCACAGGCCTAGAGGCCTAGGGGAACAGAATGGTCTCAGGGAACAGGCCTGACATGCCCTCCCCAGGCTCACTGCCTAGGGCCACCTTTGGAAGCTGCTTCCAGCACCAGCACCCCAGTAGCTGTGGCTAAATTGGCTGTAGGTGTGGCTGGGCCTGAAGCTTTGGAAGATACAAACCTGAAGCCTTGGTGACATCTACATGGTGTTAAGTTTGCAGGCTTACAGAATGCCAAAGCTATGGAGGCTTGGGAGCTTCCACCCCAATTTCAAAGGATGCATAGAAAAGCCTGGGGGCCCAGGAAGAGATCTGTTGTAGGGACAGAGTCACTGCAGACAGCCTTTGCTAGAGCAATGCCAAGAGGAAATGTGGGGTCAGAGTTAAAGCAGAAAACTCCACCAGCACCATGTCTAGTGGAGCCATGAGAATGGAACCACCATGGAGACCTCAGAACTGTGGAGCTACCAGTGTGCAACAGCAGCCTACAAGCACTAAAGCATGGTTAAAGACCAGGAAAGCCGTAGGAGAGGACCCAACCCCCATACCAGTGTGCAGAAGACATCAAACATGGAGTTAAAGTACATGATTCACCGGCTGTAAGATTTAATGCCCGCCCAGCTGGGTTTCAGACTTGTTTAAAACCTGTTACCCCTTTCTTTTGGCCTATTTCTCCCTTTTAGAATGGGAATATGTACCTTATGTTTGTCCCACCATTGTATCTTGGAAATAAATAATTTGTTCTGATTTCACAGATGGGACTTTGGACTTTGGACTTTTCAGTTGAAATAAGTTCAGACTTTGGGGATGAAATAAATGTATTTAAATGTGAAAAGGGGGCCAGCCCAGTGGCGCACTGGAGAGTGCGCCACTTGGGAGCGCGGCGGCGCTCCCGCCGAGGGGTCAGATCCCATGTGGTGATTTCAGCTTCTCCACATTCAGTATGATGTTACCTGTGAGTTTGTCATATACAGCCTTTATTGTATTGAGGTACATACCTTCTATACCTAGTTTGTTAAGAGTTTTTATCATCAAGTAACGTTGAATTTTGTCAAATACTTTTTTGCATCAATTGAAATGACATATGATTTTGGTCTTTCTGTTAATGTGGAGTGTCACATTTATTGATTTGCATATGTGGTTGCAATCCTGTGCCGGTCAGTAAAAAAGACAA